TACACAATGTAACAACAAACAGCACATTAATGAAGGATGTGAACATTTTGAGATAAACCAGAAGGCTCCTTTGAACAACTCGTTATGATAGTTTTTAAGTGTAGGTAGTAGTCAACCAACAACTTCGAGCAACAATGACAACTTGCACAGGGAGAATCTTGTCGTTGAGTCGTGGGGCGCTGAGCAGCAGGGTTCCTCGACCCCAATCGCTCGGCACAAGAAGGTCAAAAACACCAGCTTAAATCATAACTTTACCATTAACAGTAGCAATAATAAAAAGCAAAAAGCCTGTACAGACAATCGCCCACGACTAGGACAACAACCACAAAGTAATAAAGGTTCAATAATTAGAAGAAAAGCAGTCTCACGTCACCAATCAAAGCGGGAAGCAAAAAATACGACATTTAAAAATGATCAAAAGTTCCCGGCTTGTCTTCTACACCAAGGTAGTAATCGCTCGGCACAAGAAGGTCAAAAACACCAGTCCCACCACGTAACAACCTGCCAACAACAATTTTAGCCGACGGAGAAGTGAGGTAGTCATCGTCTCCTAAATTAGGTCAGAGCCATTTCACTGTTAAGTCTGAGTCTGTCAAGTATTCAAAGGTACGGACACATGACAGTTCTCACTTGTAAGAATGATTACAAGCATTAGGTTTTAAATCATAACTTTACCATTGACAATAGCATCGCGCATAAATGACACTGTGGTTTCAAAAGTCATTTTCTGGAGCGGAGAAACCCCGCTGCTTAGCGCTCCGCGAGTAAAAGGCAAAATCCTCCCTGTGAAAGTCATATAATCAGCCGTCAGTGTCAAGTGTCGTCTATTTACATCAATACCATAAGGCTGAAATACTCTTACAATTTCCTGAAAAAAAAGTTTTATTTTATAGGTCCCTCAATCAAGAACTGCTCCCTTATCATTTTAATAGATTGCCAAGCACTTTACTAAAATAAAAAGAACACTGCAAAGTCCCACAAAGTTCCTCTATTCACGTATTAACATACTACCATACTTTCCATCATGGAAAATGGCCGTAACTAAAGTCAATCGCAGAAAAAACAGCTCGGCCATTCTACGCCAGTTCACACACTTTCCCACTTGATATTTTAATATTTTCTCAAAATCTGCAGATCAGTAGCCTCTAGATCGGTATACAGAAAGCTGAAGACAAATCCGAAAAAGTGAATTGCCCGGTAAGTCGCATGTCTTGAATTACCAAGTTGCTGCTTAAAATTTTTGGAAACCAGCAATCTAGCTTAATTTTTACCAAATGTGAGTTTCTAGATTCTTAGAACTGCTACGCCTTCTAATTTTAAGTGTACATCAAGTTATTTAATTCGGGTCAGACGCTTTACAAGTACAATAAAAACAATTTTTAATAAATGTAAGAACAAACGTATCCTTGTATTCCTAAAAAAAATGCTCTATGCGAAAGTTTTTGCTTTCTAATGTATCAAGAACTGGAGGTGACTTTGCCCTGAGGTGGTCTTTAGGAGCAGGGAAAGTATACGCGATTAGAAAAAAGCCAGCTATTTTTTCCGCAAGTATGCGCAACTTACAGTGGTGAAACCGTCTTCAAGTGCTCCCAGAAACCATGGAGAGCGGCAACAAAAAACCGGTTTTTTAAAATATTTTTTAAACACCAAAGATTTGTTTGAAGATATTTCACAGTATAACACTAACAATTCATTACTTCACGGAGTCACAGAAAGTTGCTTTTACTCCAGTCCTTTCTGCTTTTCTCCTTCTACCAAATTTATGTATCTCGTATGTAACTTAAAGTCACATGGAGGTCTAAAAATCCATTGCTTTAGCCAATTAACTGCTGGATTCTACTTTTTTCCGAAGTTTCCGAGACATGGCTGGTTTAGAGAAGTACATCGCACAGTGTTAAAAAAAGAACAATGGATCGAAATCGCCTTTGCTTGTACATCGGTAACCCTGCGGAGTGGACTACAAGCAGGTCCAGGGATACATTTTATAACCTACGGACCTCTTTCAGAAATACATCTCGAAGGACTTGCAAATTCCTTTTTGGCTGACCTCTCAAACGTTGGAGCAAAATTCGTTTTAAATGCATGCACCCTTTGGCCAAAAAACCGGTTTTTTTTCTTTAAAAAGATTATGTTACATGAAACAATGTTATTGCTCCTATTTTACAACCTAAATGTGCCCTACTAATTCAATTCAGTATGTAGGAAGCAGGAAAGAATGGAATGAAGGTTGCTTCTAACGACTTCGCAAAATAATAAATAGTTAGTGTTTCAGAGCAGAAAACAACTTTTTTTTAGGTCCTTTAGGGTTGAAACATAGCAGATTTTCATAACCGCCTTTGATTTTAAAAAGTAGCTAATGACAATTTAGCCACTGTAAGATGCGTGAGTTTACTGCAGAAACAATGGATTTTTTCAGCATCACTTTCCATTCCGGCCTGTAACTTCTGAATCGGAAAAAATGGCGTCAACATTCTTCGGTATTTTACAGAGCAGAAAATTCTACACAAAATATTTCGTTCTTAAAAAATTTAAAAAGTAAGGTTTTTTTCTGAATTCATTTAGAACACTCAAAGTAAAGAACATAACAGTTCTAAACTAGGAGCTACCTTGTTAAATTTGCATCCCTGACGGAGTGAGACTTGACGAAGAACTCACCTTTAGAAATTCTCTCTCCGATTCTATACATACAGGCGTACAGTCTATCGAACAGCCAAATTTGAAAAAATTCTAAGATATCGAGTGAAAAAAGTGTTCGAACTGGTATGCCGCCGCCCATTTACGAAATCAATTAGCAAATATATAATTAAAGAGTTTTCTTAGTTAACGTCGCTTAACCAATTTTATAACGTCTTAAAGTCTAGGACTAAAACATTAGCAAAGATGCCTTGATGAGAGCCTGTCTGCATGCTTCTACACCGTAATTCTTCCACATAAGATTAAGGTCGTTCGTGTAAAAAGTATTGACATCTAATTCTTTAGAATGTCGAAAAAATGCCTAAAACATACTGTGGATTTGAAGACATAGTTTCGAAAGATTTCAATTTAATCATATACAAAAGGTGTTTTTCATTTACTTTGTCCAGTTAAAAACATGAATTGCATCCCATACTAAACACGGTAATCAGAAAATAGACTTGGAAACAAACCTCAGCATTGATTCCTTGTGTGGCTAAAATTTGACACGATCTGTTGTTATGGTTCTCCTCCCTCTGAATACATTTTTCCACTCCAGGAGTCCCATATACAACAAATGTTTCCAGTTCCCTTTCAACTAGAGTAACAACATCAAGCCTTGTTTTTGTATTCAATGGTAGCTGGAAGTAAGAAGTTAAATGGAACCAACAAAAAATGACAGGATTAGGAGTTGAGAAATACAAAAGGAGCAAGTGGAGAAGCAGCGGTAACAAGCATAAAAATTACTCTAAATGTAATAATACACCATCTGTTATGTTTATTGTCGAATCTATAGTTGGAAACGATAGATGATGAAGATATTACTGCCTAAAAAAAAATCCATACTAATTTGAACTTTTTAATGATCTTCCACCTGCCTAAAAAAACAAGCCACCTGAATTCTTATTTGATCTGCTACAATGGTTCCTCCATGATCAGGAGCTTCCCAACATTCATCACTTTCCATTTCTACGCTGTTCAACTCTCCCTCTTCTTCTCCAACATCTGATGATGCCGGTTCGTTTTCCTCCTAAAATAAAAAGCTTGAAAAACCACTTTAAATCTTAAATTAAAACACAGTTTTAATAAATGCAGGTCGTTAAGGACCCAAAAACTGCTCTCATACTTCCACTTCAATAACATTCTTTTCATCTTCTTCTCCTTCATAATCTGCAGCATCATCCAAATGTCTTTTGTTTAATCTCACTTCTCCAGCATCAGCATCCTTTCCTGTATCTGCTTCTTCATCGCTACTCGCCGCATCCTGTAATGATAGAAAAAAGAAATTTTGCTCAGCGC